GCCGCAACGACAGTTGGTGGCGCGCCAGGGCGCATCGCAGTTCCTTGCGGATTGAGCGTATTTTGGCCGGAGGGAGACTGAGAGACTCCGCTTCCGAGTCCACCGTGAATCCTAGGAACTCCATGTGTCGGGAAGGGGATAGGCAGGATTTTCCCCCCAATGAGCAGGAAGCCCAGCCGACCTAGTAGGTCCATCGTCCATTGTAGGTGTTCTAGGAGGACCCCCCCCGATCTTGTGCCACGAGGAGGATGTCGTCCAAATAGTCTTACCCCTCAATGGCGCAGCCAAGCCATGGCAGGTAGCATCAACTTGGTGAAGCACCACGGAGCTGACGAGAGCCCGAAAGGGAGGCATGTGAATCGCCACGTTTCGCCTTTCCAGAGGAATCGTAGTAATTCCCTGGACGACTCGGTCACCGGGACGGTCAGGTAAGCATCTTTGAGGTCTAATTTCACCATCCAGTCTCCGCGTAGGAGTAAGTCCTGTAGGAGATGGATGCCCTCCATCTTGAAGTGGCGGTAGCGCACTAAGGAGTTTAGGGCCCGAAGGTTGATAACAGGGCGCATCTGGCCACCTTTCTTTTCCACAAGGAAGATGTTGCTGAGAACACCAGTATGGGGCATCGGAGCTCGTTCTATCGCTCCCTTCGTGCGGAGTGACAATAGCTCCTTGTCTATTAAGGCTCGGTTTGCCCTTGAAAGTACCATAGGGTGAGGGTGAGGAATATGACACGGGGTGTCTACCAATTCTATGTAAAACCCCTTCACAGTGGCCCAGGAATCTGAGGTGATGTCTAACCAGGCATGGAAAAAATGACGCGGAGTCTGTTCCCTACACAGATATTGGAAAAAACATGAGGTAGGTGTAGTCTTACCGTAAGGGCGTCTGGAACCGGGGTTCCCTCTGAAGCCTCTGGAGCGCCATGGTCTTCCACGAGACAGGAAGAAGGGGGACTGGTGTCTCGTGTCCTGATAAGGTGATCTCTGATTATAGGAGCCTCGTCCCGATCCTCGGGAGTTGAAATTTGACCGGCCGGACAGACGGCCCCTGAATCTGCCGCCCCTGGTAGAGACCCGTCCCTGAAATACCCTCTTCATGGAGGACTGGGCCTTGTCTAGGGCTGTGAAAGCACCTACAAAGCGTCTCCGAATAACAGGCCCTGGGCATCTTTGCCCGCTTCAGTGAGGGCGAGGTTGGCCAATTTAGGCTCAATTTTGAAGAGGATGGCTTTACGACGCTCTATAGACAGGGAGGCGTTCACGCTGCCTGCTATGCAGATTGCCCAGGTCAACCTGCCTGTTTTCAGTTCTGGCGAGTTCGGCCAGGTCGAATAATTTAGCCAGGGGGCCAAAAATGTCCAGGTGTTTGTCCTGGCAGGACTTTAATGCTGAGTCCAAACCCTTACGGGGATTCCAACCCATCTTGGAAAGAAACTGTATCATTTTTGGGTCTACAATGGGAGTCTCACAGACTTTATTGGGGATCAGGGGTCTAGGACATTCTGCCCTGAGCTTGTTGCGCGCCGCCTTGCTAAGGGGGTGCCGTACCCAGTTCTCCAGGTACTTTGCTACATGGGCAGCTGGGAGTCATTCTGCTGACCTCGGGTGATGGAGAGCATCTGGGTCAAACATAGGTTCCCCAGACGGGTCCATGAGGGTTGAACCTGCGGTAGCGGGAGAGTCGCTGCGAGAGCCACTAATTACCAACCCTGATAGGGCAGGGGCAAAAGGGGCAGTGTCCTGCCCGTCCGTCTCATCATTGGAGTCATCTCCGGACTCATCAACAGCCTCCACACAAGACCCAATTTCTGAGTCGGAGTTGCTCTCTGCATGTGCTCTGGCACATTTCCAGTGCCGCGCCCATTCTGCCTGGTGCAGGAAGGCTCTCTTGCGTGACATAGGCACGCTATCATGGGTGGATATTTTTACACCAGTCTTTTTGGTTCTGGAGGCGGGAGGGCTTAGTTGTCTAGATTTGGCCTTTCTAGGACTGTCCCCTGAGGGGTTCAAAGAGGAGCGCGGTAAGCGCGTTGGCGTGGCCAGTGCTTCTGCAGGCACAGGGCGTGCCAGTAAGGCCTGAGATATAGTCTGGGAAAGGTCCGAGGACATGGAGCCCATGGCGGCCATAATGGCGTCTGTAACGGAACGTGGCAGTGCCAGGGCCTGGACATCATCAGGCACCGACATAGGGTCACCCGCAGAAGAAGGGGGGCCAGAGCTGGCCGAGTTAGGGTTTTCCAGCACACGGGGTACATCCATATCCCCAGGGGAAAGAGGGGTAGCAGACCCTTTAGATTTAGGCATAATAATTATAAGTGAGAGTTATCCCAAAGACACAAGTAATAAATTTGTATATATAAAATATATAAAGTATAATGAGCTGCTAAATATTAGAAAAGACTATACTGAGAGAGGAAGTTTCAACTAGCAGGAGTTAATCACCCCAGGCTAGTTATAGCTAATAGGGAGTAAATTAGGGAGCTCACCAGGGTCCAGACCGGCAGATAGGTAGAGGACACGAGGAATGGGAAGAAGAGTGAGTGATAGAAAATGGCCGGCGGAATTCTACCAGAAAAAGGAGAAAGAGCCGAACGTTCGGCGGAAACCAGTGAATGCATATGGAGCCATAGAGGAAAACATAGCAGGGGCGAATAAGCCGGGCGTTCGCATAGAAATTCGAACGCAGCAACAGGCGAATTGAAAGGTGAATAAGGCAATCTAGCGAATAGGGAAATTCGTGAGAATAGCCGAACAGTATATGGTATAATAGGAGAAGAAAAACTGCCGAACGGGATGACAAGAATAGGCGCAAAGGGCGCCAAAGTGACAGGCAGACCGGCAGATAGGAGAAAATGTAATGGAGAGAGTAAAAAAGCTTGAGAGCCTTACAAAGGGTACAAGTAAAAGGTAGAACTAAAGCCAGAAAAAAGAGGTCTGGAACCCTGGGCTCAAATAAAATTTTCACAATAAAAGTCAAAGCATACAACAATAATTGCAAGCAATAATTAACCAGTGAATGGTACAAGTTTACCAGCAGAGAAATAGTCAATAGTGCAGATAAACAGTAGACAAAACCATAAGGCAATATAAGAAGAAAATAGTCATGTCATGAAAGAGGAATTGGGTGGGGAGGTGCTGCCTATTATACTGGGACTTGATATGGGAGTGACCTATCACTATGGTTACCGTTTTTTCTTACTGTTTGTATTCTTTGCTGCTATTGGTAGACAGTAAAGAAAGGGATATGCAATATGAGCCTCCGTGTCTTGACATAAAATTCAGGGGCTAGGCCATGCAGCACTGGTCCAGGACCAGGAAGCAAACAGAAAGTCCTTAGCAGAATAATCCAAGATAGGATCAGTCAGGCAAGTGTTAAGTCAGGAATCCAAGGCAAGCAAGGGTTAAATCCAGGAATCCAAGGCAGCATCAGTCAGGCAAGGGTTAAGTCCTTCGAAATTACAGGCAGACAAGGGTTAAGTCCTTGGAAATTACAGGCAGAGTAGGACTGTAACCTCTAGGGAACTCATAAGACATCTGAGCCAAACACCTAGGGGAGAGAAAGGGGAACCCTCAAATGAGGAGGGTTATCTGCATTGCTCAGTTGTTGTTGGATAACTCTTATGTTTGTGAGTCAAACTTTGTCACTCATATTCTGTGACTTGCATTTGTCTAAACCTTGTAGGTCTTTGCCTGGGCAGCTCTGTGCCACTTCCCACCGCCTACGAGGTCAGTATTTCCAACCTCCTCAGTGTTGCAATTATACCAGTGTATACTTTCTTCCTCCTTTATACAGCAACCATTCAACAGCTGACAGTGGTTTTATAAGTGCTGCTAAAATTGCAAACCTACATTTATTAAATGAAGACACCTACCTTCCTAACATTACTAACCTCCATCTGTTTCTTTTAGTACCTCTTATATACATATTGTATTTAGAAGTTGAAAGAATTCCATTACTTACCAATCAATATATTCCCCTTTGAGAATTACCATTTAAAATGTTTACTTAGAAAGTTTCATATAACTTACTTGAAATATAAGATGTCCCCCTTTTCCAGAGTTGCTCTCTCATTACTGTGAGTGCCTCTAAGTCCACATGGACTGTACATCATGTTGCTAATGCAATAATAGCCTGCTGGGAAAAAATATAATTTATGATCTCTTTGTATAGCAATGTAAATTGATGTTATTTGAAGGCTTTTAGTTTAAAGGTTGTTCCATTATAGGTAATCCAAATGTTCTAACCATGTTGAACTGTGACTGTATGCTGATGTTTACTGCACATTGGTTTATAGCGAAATTATCTATATTTATAAATAATTTGATGGAAAGAGCATGTTCATATTGTACACTTAAATTGCATTTATCAAATTACCCCAAGCCTTTTAAAACATTATATTTATTATCCTTATTAACAATTTTACCTATAATGAAATTGTTCTTCCTGAAAATGTAACTGCTCTAACTATCCAGAAGACATGGAGATACTTGCAGTTTGGTAAGGTGTTCTTTTTTATTTTATTTTTCAAACGCATGCTGTTTTGAGTTTACTGTTCATTTCAAAAAGTAAGTACTTGATTTTCTAAAAGTCTGAACCAAGCTCAACCAAACAGCATAAGAAAACCTCCTTAAATTTCACTGCTCAGCTAATGTTTGATGATCTCAGCCAATCCCATCCTTACTCATTGGAAAGCACTGGGAGGCTATTGCACATGTGCAGCAAAACGTCACACTACACCAATCAGCTTTTCCTAATAGAAATTTATTGGAGTGTTTACATTGCAAAACCTGCAGAGACATGCTATAGACACCAAAACCACCACATTAAGCTGAAGTTTCTGGTGACCATAGTGACCTTTTACCTCCCTGATAAACTAAAAGACAAAATTAAGTATTTTGGGGGTGTGTTCTGGAATGCTGGCAAGATGGCAGCATAAGTGTTTAGTTCCAACTTAACAGATTTGCTAACCCATGTTCACATGGGCCGAAATAAGAAGGAAATCACCTCTCATTCCTCTCACTGAGTGGTGGTGCCCCGAGGTCTGGAACCATGAATGATTTTCTCTCCACGTCTGTAGACCTGGCAGGCCCTGGGTCCTCTAGCAATGTGGCAACCGCGTCCCCTAAACCTAGTAATTTGGTGATTTCCAATATGGGAGATAGTCGAGTGGTGTCTTCCCTCGGCCTGCTGAGGGTCGACCTTCGCACTGTATACCAGGCTAAGTTCACTAAGGTGAATGGAGTCCTACATTTAGGGGATGATTGATGGAGATGGATGACCTGCATGAAATCACAAACCTGGAAAACAGGGTCTCAGGCCTGGAAGCCTCCTCTCAATGCTCTGAGCAGCTGCATTAGGCTCCAGAACTTGTTGCCATGAGGCAGGGAAACCTGATCCTGGACCTGTGGAAGCAGGTCAAACCTACATAACAGAGGACACAGGATACAAGGTCTACTTAAAACAGACCATGAAGAAACCTAAGCAATGAAGATCCGGAGATGATACCTCTGGGCAGAGCTGATAGGGTACCGAGAGATGTTCTATATTGTGTTAGAATGCAGAACTGGGTTTGACAGTACAGAACTAGATTCTGCACCCTATTTCGTTAAAAGACCAAGGAGAAAATCAGCCCTTCGATCCCCAAACTCTGAGCCTCTAGCAATCTTGTCTCAACAGGCTAAATAATGAGGCTTGGAGATTGTGCTTCTATAGGGCAACCCAATCTCTCAGGTACTCATATCCCATTACATTATGCTGAGTGGGATTCTTATGTATACAACTCGGTGTTAGGATGGAAGAGAAGGGGTTACGCTACCCTGTAACTAGCCTCTCCACTGGTAGCTATATGCCCTGATGGGACTATGATACAGTTGGTCATGTTTGGGCATAAATGTCCCGTTATACTTGTTTACGTGCTATCATTTGAGTACAGACAAGTGGGAGCAGGCTAGAGCACCTTAGGGATTCATAATTGTCTTTGGACATGCACACTGAAAGGCTGGGAACATGTCTGGGAATCCTATACCTCTATGTGCCCTTGGTGGGTTGCGCCATAGCCTCATATGGATGGGTAATGGTATTTGTCTAAGCTGATATATTAAGCCCTTTGGGACTTCTCAAGGGTCGCCTACAAGAAAGCATCCACAGAAACATAGAATAGACGGCACCATAACCACTATAGCAGACTGCAGTAGCTAAGGTGCTTGGAGTGAATGAAAGAAATATAGAATGTGACGGCAGATTCGGCCCATCTAGTCTGCCCAATTTTCTAAATACTTTCATTAGTCCCTGGCCTTATCTTATAGTTAGGATAGCCTTATGCTTATCCCACGCATGCTTAAACTCCTTTACTGTGTTAATCTCTACCACTTCAGCTGGAAGGCTATCCCATGCATCCACTACCCTCTCAGTAAAGTAATACTTCCCAATATTATTTTTAAACCTTTGCCCCTCTAATTTAAGACTATGTCCTCCTGTTGTTTCTTCTTTTAAATATAGTCTCCTCCTCTACTGTGTTGATTCCCTTCATGTATTTAAATGTTTCTATCATATCCCCCCGTCTCGTCTTTCCAAGCTTTACATGTTAAGTTCCTTTAACCTTTCCTTGTAAGTTTTATCTGCAACCTATGAACCAGTTTAGTAGCCCTTCTCTGAACTCTCTCTAAAGTATCAACATCTTTCTGGAGATACGGTCTCCAGTACTGCGTACAATACTCCAAGTGAGGTCTCACCAGTGTTCTATACAATGGCATGAGCACTTCCCTCTTTTTACTGCTAATACCTCTCCCTATACAACCAAGCATTCTGCTGGCATTTCCTGCTGCTCTATTACATTGTCTGCCTACCTTTAAGTCATCAGAAATAATTACCCCTAAATCCCTTTCCTCAGATGTTGATGTTAGGACTCTATCAAATATTCTGTACTCTGCCCTTGGGTTTTTACATCCAAGATGCATTATCTTGCACGTATCCACATTAAATGTCGGTTTCCACAACTCTGACCATATTTCTAGTTTACCTAAATCATTTTCCATTTGGCTTATCCCTCCTGGAACATCAACCCTGTTACATATATTAGTGTCATCAGCAAAAAGACATACCTTACCATCAAGACCTTCTGCAATATCACTAATAAAATTATTAAAGAGAATGGGTCCAAGTACAGATCCCTGAGGTACCCCACTGGTGACAAGCCCATGCTTTGAATATATTCCATTGACTACAACCCTCTGTTGCCTGTCACTCAGCCACTGCCTTACCCATTCAACAATATTGGAATCCAAACTTAAAGATTGCAGTTTATTGATAAGCCTTCTATGTGCAACAGTGTCAAAAGCCTTACTGAAATCTAGGTAAACAATGTCTACTGCACCACCCTGATCTATAATTTTAGTTACCCAATCAAAAAAATCAATAAGATTAGTTTGGCATGATCTCCCTGAAGTAAACCCATGTTGTCTCTGATCTTGAAATCCATGTGTTTTTAGATGTTCAACAATCCTATCCTTTAACATGGTTTCCATCACTTTCCCCACTACTTAAGTAAGGCTTACTGGCCTATAGTTGCCCGACTCCTCCCTACTATCTTTCTTGTGAATGGGCACAACATTCACTACCTTCCAATCTTCTGGGACTACTCCTGTTAACAATGATTGGTTACATAAATCTGTTAATGGTTTTGCGAGTACACCACTAAGCTCTTTTTTAAAAAATTCTTTATTTTTGTTGTGCGGGTAGGTACATAGTTTCCACTAATGCCACAACAGCGTGTATTAACATGGAGCAACATATAATAGAGTTTGACAGTGGCATGCAAGTCGCACATATTTATTTTTTTCCATTTCTATACATATGCATGGTTCAACAGTTAGTAGTAATTGTTTAGCTAAACAAGATATAAAACACAGCTTAAACTCTAAGGTACTATAGTTGCCTGGGAAGTGTCACGACATTGCAGGAGCTAGTTATGGCAGATCAGGCATCAATTCTGAGCTACATCCTATCTTATGACTAAACAGTGTTCTGCAGGTTTAGTAAATGTCTCAGCACTCAGAGAGGGTATTCAGGCATAGAAAATATAGTAAACATAGTGCTTGCTAGGACAGATTAAATCATGTTGGCTCTAAGGTATGTGTCGCAGTATAAGATGCAGCATATCAGGGGTCCACATTAGGTAAAACCAAAAACAATAAGACACTGGTAAAATTTTAACTGTACTAGGCTGTCTAGCAGTAAGCAGATCGGCACGAATAGGACAGTTAGCTTGGAGATCTCGAGAATCACTTAGCCGACGCTGGCTGCTGATATGGTATTGTCCCCCAAAGTGGTGTTGTGCAGACATGCCTGCCATGGTGGGGATTGGCCAGTTGGTGGGTGGTTTAGGCCTGTGGTTAGTCCGTTTATGCTTGTGGTGTGTCGTGACTGGGTACTCTGGGTGGGGAGGTGCATAGTGGCTCTTGTGGCTCTTCTGATAAAACCTTTCCTTGAGTCACGGTTGCTTAATGGCGGTAGCCATTCTCTCTGGGCGTAGGCCTCCTGATTCTCCCTCACGTTGGGCTCTTGGCCCTGAAGTGCAGCGTCGAGCGGGGGGAGGCGCTGGACAGGATGCGGCTTTCAAGCTGGTTCTCTTCTGCCTCAGTTTTGGTGGTTTAGGGGCTGGTTGGGTGCTCCGAGGCCTACCATCTTCTTAGTTCAAGCCACCGGGAGGTGCTTGGTGCACCGAGCACTGCAATCCGCCCAGTTGAGTCTCGGGGCTCTGTTGCTCCAGATTAGTAGGTTCGTCATGTTATGTCAATAATAATTCACTTATGCAGGTTCCTACTTGGAGCTCTGGTTTAGTGCGATCAGTCTACTTGGTGGCCAGGTCCCACCCTCCACTAAGCTCTTTTAATAACTTTGGGTGTATTCCTTCAGGTCCCATATACATGTTTTTCTTTACTTTTGACAGTTGAAATAGAACCTCTTGCTCTGTAAACTCATATGTAACAAATGACTCATATGTCATTTTTCCTAACAGAGGCCCATTTCCTTCATTTTCATCTGTGAATACTGAACAAAAATATTCATTAAGACAGTCAGCTAGGCCTTTATCCTCTTCTACATACCTTCCTTCTTTCGTTTTTAATCTAATTAATCCTTGTTTTACCTTCCTTTTCTCATGCATGTATCTAAAAATGGTTGGTCCCCATTTTTTTACTGACTGTGTTATTGTCTCTTCTGTGTGTAATTTGGAAGCTCTTATAACTTGCTTAGCCTCTTTCTGCCTTATCTTATAGATCATTCTGTCTTCATCACTCTGTTTTTTTTTATAATTACTAAATGCTAACTTTTTGTTTTTAACTATTTTCACCACCCCCACCACTGGGATTTATGTTATCCATTAGAGCTCACCACCTGTTGTTTACATGACCTATTTTAGGGTCACACCTGGGTCTGGAGTTTGGCTATCAATGCACAACATTGGCTAATCCTATTCCCTGGGATGACCTATCTCTGTGGGGTTCACAGGCATCAAGCAATTGTATTCATTTATTTGTTTGCTGATAATAAATATGTTGTTGTATGTATTTTACACTGTTCACCTATTTAGTTTGCTAAAGAAGACCAGGATGCATCCATCTTTTGGGTGCAGATGGGGGGGTCGTTTGTCCCATGCTCTGCTCGGTTGTTAAAAATCACTTTGAATGTGTCTCTGAGGCTGTGGACCGGTATTTTCTCACTATGAGCCCTTTCGGTTCAATGCTAATTATTTATTTTCTTATTTATATTCAGCCATGTATCTTCTTATTTTTATCCTAACTCAACAGGACTGGGTGATCTCAGGAGATTATGCCCACTATTTGTTGCAATCTAATTTACAACTTGGGTAGTGGACATTATGGGTGTTCTGCAATGTTTACCTACCTAGCAATGCTATGTAACTTGGAGACCTTCTTGCCCCTTAGGTGCACTGAGGTGGGCGCATGTCCCCTGTCTCATTTGGATGCATGTCCACTATCCTGAACGATGCCTAGGATGCGTCTTTGAGTGGGGTCTGACTCTAACATTAGGAAAAGTACAGAGGCAGGCTACAAAATTCATAAAAGAAATGGAGTATTTTAGTTATGAAGAAAGGTTAAAATAAAATCTCTGCAGTTTGGAAAAACAGCCATTGTCTGAAATCTACAAGGTCACGCATTTAAACTTTAAGAAAGTAAATTTAGTCTAAGGAAAATTAAAAAAAGTTTT